CAATACTCTACTTTTTATATTCAAGGTGTTTATACTGATAACTTGTCTTGTTACTTTTCTATTCTTACTGCAGAGCGTCTTGTTCCTTCCCCTTTGAATTTCCTCGGCATGGGACTAATAGAGGTTCATCTTAAGTACTCAGATATTTTACTAGTGTAAAAGTACTAACGACAGTAACGACCACATGCTGTACACCTTTAATGTGTTTTTGTCCAATCTCCAAACCTTCCTCCACTTTGTTTCTTCTTTTTTTAGGTTAAATGTCAGTGGGGTCAAAGGTCAGACTTAACCTCCACAATGCGTCCGAGCGTCTTCAGCTTCAGTCCAACACCAAGCTGCCGCCTTGTTCGGCGGCTCAGGGCCGCGTTAGTGAATTGACAACCCGCGGTTAACATGAGAGTCGGTGAGAGCTGCAGCAACAGGATTTATTCAGATGATTATTTACATCTAGTTAACATAATTATAAACGACATAAAAGATGAGCCCGACAATCCACAGCAGGTCGTCATCACAGTCGCTGAGAAATTTCTAACCAGAAATAAACCAACACTGATCAGTTTGCAGCAAACACACACACCTGATGTCACTGAGGAGTGTGGAGGATCAGTCCAGCCAGACAAATAAACACCAAACCTCAAAAAACAGGACATCAAATTTAAATATTTTAAAATGGAAAAGCAAACAAAAATAGAAAATAAGAAACTGAAAAGAAAAAAAGAGCAACATTTAAAGGCAAAACAAAAGAAAATAGAAAATCTATCAACTGTCTGTCACCAATAATCTGACCATAAATTGTCAAAAACTAAACCGACAGTGATGATATGTGGTTTTTGTGAAGTGGAAACCTGAAATCAAAAATACAGATCTTAAATAAAGATGCTCAGAATGAAAATTTCCCATTGTACATTTCAATTTAAAGGTTTAAGATTTTAATTGAAACATTTTTATGATTTCACCACTTTAGGTTTGAGTGCAGACACTTTTGTTCTTCTCTTTCAATTTCAGGTTCTTTAATTTGATGTTTTTTTTTATTCATCTTTAAAGATTCTGACTTTGTACAAGATTTAAAAAATACAAATGTATATTTTATTTGGACACAAATACATTTCTTATTCACAATGAGGCACATGCATTTTCTTTTTAATTTCACAGTAATCACATCTAATTCTGACATTTAACCATGACCCGTTTCTCCTCCACAGTACAGTTAAATAGCTGTTTAACTTTTTGTTTACTTTTAAAAAATTGTTTATTTTCATTTCGGCGTAAAATTAACCTAAAAACATATTAGGGAGGAAAGAAACAGATATTTCTGATGTGAAACTTCCCCCCACACACCGTGAGGCGGCTTCGGGGATGTGTTGAGGTGTGATGGAGGAAGTTGCCTGTCAGTCACACAACTTTCATCGAGTTCAGGTGGGTTCAGGATGTCAAACGAAGTCCGCTATGTCAACACCTTCTCATCCCGTTTGATGACAAGTGTTGAAGAAATGTGGTTTGTTCATTTGATCAGCTGATCCATGAAAATGTCACTGTGCTCATCCTGACGAGTGCCGATTCAAACATCCACCTTTAATCGAAGGCAGCTGGACGCATTTCCCTCGGTGGCGACTGCTGCTGCTCTTCCTGAAATTTACAGTTTATCTATGTAAAACATAAATTATTACTTTTTTTTAACTGGAAATACTGCCACGGTCCTTCTAACCTCCCTAATTCAACCCTTTCTAATATCCCATCTAATCCAGCAAATTATTCTGAAAATACTTTTTTAAAAATGTAGATTTATTCCAGAAAGCGTTTGTAACCACAGTTCAGACAGAGAGCTGTCACCACAAGGTGTCACCAAATCCACCGAAACATCAAAAGACACCAGATCACCGGATCAATAACACTTCCAGTCAACCAGCGTGTGTGCGTGCAGAGGTCAGGTCTCAGGATGGTCGGGGGTCTCACAGCAAAGACTCGGGGTTAGGGGTTAATGACACTGGGTTAAATGTTTGGCACAAAGTGGACTCAGAGACCAGTCTGATCCACTTTACTGGTCTCGCATCATGTCCCTCAAAAATCCAGTCCAGATGGTCCGGTCCAGTCCAGGCCTGACACACCTGGTCTCAGACCAGGTTCTGCTCCAGTCCAGTTCAGGGCCGGGTACAGGTCTACATGCTTTAGAGCCACAGCCTCCGGCAGGCTGCTAAAGGCTTACTGTTGCAGAGAAAGTGACCCTGAAGGAAAACTCAGACTAAAATGAAATCTGGAAACAGAACCGAGGGACAGTGGTTCACTTGGAGGGAAAAACCTCAGATTTCAGAAATGTCAACGGGAACTTGAACGCAGCCTAAATCGAACTGTTGAGAAGATAATGTGAGGATCAACTTCACTGTGGAACTGGAAGACACTGAAACCAGCACAAAATGTTGCTGGCATCGGGTCTTCCCTCTGAATGATGGACTGGAAACACTGGCGACAGACTCTGACATTAAAACTGGAACCAACTGTTTGCAAGATAAAAACCGGGCTCACTCAGAACTTGTTTCTTTTCTGTAATGTAGGTGAACTGACCCTTTACTGTCACGACTGCACTGTCGGCACCTTCTAACTTCCATAATCAGCCCTGAACGGGTCATACATGGAGGTGGGAGTGTCGGAGCTTCCGCCTCCGGGATCGGACTTTGAAGAAGAAGAAGAGCAGCATGAGGAAGAGGCAGGAGAAGACGTACAGGACCACACACAGACTCATGTCCACGCTGTTAAAACCCAGACCCAGACCCAGGATCCACACTCCTCCCCCTGCTCCTCCTCGTCCACTGTGCCCGGGCAATGCCCCCCTCTGGTGTCCAGGGCGAGGCTCTGGCCACTCCTCAGCTTTCTCCTCTGGCTCCATCCTCTCTCTTCCTCCTACTCCTCCTCCTCGGTGCTCCGCCTGAGGCCGGCTGGTATGCACAGGGTTTGGAGGTGGTGCAGGGACCTGTGGGGGGGTCAGGGAGTATTTCGGGGACAGGTTGGAGACTCCATAGTGATGTCGGAGGAAGCTAAGGACATTGTCTTGGTTCCAGACATGGACGCCGTTTTTCTCCTCGTGGCAGGAGGCGCAGAGGGAGGGGCTGGGCCATGGAGCTTTAGGAAAGAGGGGGTCATCACTCAGGGAGCCTGGAGGAGGAGGAGGAGAAAGGGGAGGGGGTGGAGGAGCAGAGGATTAATCATGGTTCTGATGCTGCCGTGCCGTGCAACTGATGCTCCAATTAGACTAAAATGACCCGGCACCCTGTACACTGACCGATTGACTCGTTCGGATCAATCAATCACGATGAGGAGCTCATACTGACCATGAGCACAAAGCCCTGGTCACTTTGTCCTGAGACAATCCCAATAAAGCTTATTGAAACCAGGTGTGGGCACACAGAGAAGGGTGGTCCTGCTTTCAGTGATTCCACAATAACCAGAAAAGAGAATCACATTGAGCTGCAGCAGGCTGTTCTTCACTCGGTCTGGATACTGCCGCCCACCACTACCGCAGTCACCCTGTCCACCTGAGGCCCTGCTACTGGGACCAGACTGGCTTTGGTACTAAAATATCGATGGCACCGAGCGTCTCCAAAGACAGCGCATGGCTAAAATGCACTGCACTGGTGTTATGACCTGCACTCAGCTTTCATATAACAGCCTTTGGAGGTAACAGCTCCATGGGTGTGAGGCCGACTCCACCTGCTCACTCTGTGGATCAGCAACGTCTGGGAGGATTCACTAACATGGCCTCGACACCAGGACAGGCCCCGAGCACACACTGAAACGAAAACGGACTCATAATAACGAGCTGGAGAGCTGGCTGACTTTGTTCTCGGCGCCCGGAGCCACAGCCCTAATGCGTCTGGTGCAGCAGAACTGAAGGACAGACCTCTGACAGCAGCCATGTTTGAAATCAAACTGCCACACAAACATTCCTGACTGTCCAGGAGCTCAATCACTGATCGATCAGGCGATTCATCGGATGTCAGGTTCCTGCTCACGCTGCACATCGATTTTACAATGAGCCCAAGTGACTGGGACAAATCTGGACTACTGGGACAAATCTGGACTGTCTGCCAGGTTTTGTGGGGAACAGGTGTGTCACAAGCATTACTGACCGGGTCTGAGTGTGTGTTCACCTGCCAGCCTGTAGTTGACCATGTTGTGTTGGTTCCACAGCCACAGCATCTGCTGGACTCTGTCCATACCGGCGGCCGCTGCCTGCTCAAAGTGTCGGCCACACTGCTCACAGCCGAAGAAGGTCCTGATGTAGCGACGCATCACCTGCAGCACCGGAGCCGCCTCGGCCTCCAGACCTGCATCGTACAGACGTACACATAGATAGGAATCACACGGGTGGACCTTGACAACAGGCGTGTCTGTGCTCAGGGGCTTGAAGCAAAGCAGCAGCAGCCCCTGTGCTGCTGAGAAAGTGGACCACAATCCACAGCTGCATCTTGCTGCATGACACAACTGGTATTTTTGCCAGACAACTTTAGGTTTTTGTGAGTTTTTGCAAATGACTGACTTTTTTGACAACCTCTGTTTTTACAGTGCATGTATGAGAGCATCAATGTGCATGTGTTACCTGTGTTTTCCAGTGCAGCGGGTGTGGCATCATGCTGGACTGTCAGAACGTGGAACAGAGTCCAGAGGGCACATGGGTAACCTCTGAGCCCTGGCCTGCTGCTCTGGCAACCAACCCAGCGAAGCTCCGCCCCCAGGAACACACCTGAGATCTGGGAAACAGGAAAGAGGAAGTGACCTGCTGCTATGTGTGTATGTGTGTGTGTTTGCAGTTTGAGTGTCTCACCCTCATCTTGTTGTCCACCAGGTCCAGGACAGCCTGGTAGGGGATTCGCTGCAGTGGCAGACTGAGCAGCCAATCAGAGAGAGTCTCCATCAGCTTCACCACTGAAACCCCACCTGGATACAACTGCACAGGGGAGAGAGAGAGGAGAGGTTGTCTGTGTTGGTGAGGACAGTCGAGCGGCACAAGGCGGCTTAGCGTAGCCAGGCTCTGCTGCAGTGACACTGAGCCATGATCTGAAGAGCAGCGGCTCTGGCTTCCTTCAGACTCTGTGCACAGTGACGCCGTTCTCAGCCTGTAGAGCTGGTTGTTGGAAACAGACGCCTCCCGTGTTCCCTGAGGAGCCCCCCAGTGCAGCGGTGTGGCTGCTGGTGGACAACAGTTGAGGTCTATGGCACAGAGCGACGAGCTGGACCAGGGTCTGGACTCACACACATTATGGTGAGGACACCACACTCACTGGTGCTGCTCGTCCCTGGATGGGGTTGTGGGGTAGGACACAACAACCAACCTTGTCTTTTACAGGACTGAAGCTGTGTTCAGACATGTGTTGTTACCTTTGCAACCAAAGTGACAAAGTCCTTGAAGACTTTTAGCTCCTCCCCCTCCAGGGTATTATGGGTAGCCAGTTCGACCCTCAGCAGGTAGTGGAGGGCTGACTCCAGATCAGCCATGTACACCTTGGACCTGCAGAGACACAAACAGGTTTACTGTCGAGCCACTGACTCTGGTCCAGACTGAGCTGAGCTGAACTGCTCCAACAGCGTCTCTGACCTGTTGAAGTCTCTCCAGGGCTCTGCGCCCTGTTTCTGCGGTAGCGCCCCCATCTGACCGACACTGTAACTGTCGCTGTCTGAGGTCAGCCTGCGCTGGACTCCTGGTAATGTCCGCAACATGGAGGAGAAGAAGAAACGCAGCTGCTTCTGCCTGAAATACAAAAGGCAGAACAGCATGCAATACCACTGAAACTAACTACAAACAATTAAAAACAGCTGACCGAGAAAGAGGCCTGGGTTAGAGGTGAGGGAGGGGGTCCCAACTACAGTGTGAGCCCGTTTTTACCCTGTGTTAATCTCATGCAGTCACAGTGTCCCCATTAACAGCAGCACAATGAGCAACATCCCCTTGGACGTACAGGCAACTGTCACTGGGTCACTGTGAGACTGAAGGGACCTTAGAAATGGGAGGAAACTCAGGCAGGTTCTGCAGCCTCTCACATCATCTTATTACAGAGACTTGAACATGTTATTGGGATTAAAGGAACTACACTAAGTTGGTTCAAATCTTACTTATCAGAAAGATTCCAGCTTGTTCATGTTAATGATGAATCTTCCACACAAACTGAAGTTAGTCACGGCGTTCCACAGGGCTCTGTGTTAGGTCCAATTCTCTTCACTTTATACATGCTCCCTTTAGGCAATATTATCAGGAAGCACCACATTCATTTCCATTGCTATGCAGGTGATACTCAGTTATATTTATCTATGAAGCCAAATGAATCAGATCAGATCAGCTGGTCAAACTTCAAACATGTCTTAAAGACATAAAGGCCTGGATGACCTGTAACTTCTTACTTCTAAACTCTGACAAAACTGAAGTCATTGTGCTTGGGCCTGAAAACCTTAGAAATCTGCTGTCTAATCATATAGTTACTGTAGATGACATAGCTCTCACCTCCAGTACTACTGTGATGAACCTTGGAGTCATCTTTGATCAGAATATGTCCTTTAAATCACACATAAACCAAGTCTCTAAATCTGCCTTCTTTCACCTGCGCAATATTGTAAAATTCAGGAGCATCCTGTCTCAAAGTGATGCTGAAAAACTGGTCCATGCATTTGTTACTTCCAGGCTGGACTACTGTAACTCTTTACTATCAGGATGTCCCAATAATTCCCTAAAAAGCCTCCAGTTAATCCAAAATGCTGCAGCCAGAGGACTGACAGGAACTAGCAAGAGAGATCATATCTCTCCCATATTAGCTTCTCCCCACTGGCTCCCTGTAAAATTCAGAATAAAATTTAAAATCCTCCTCCTAACATACAAAGCCCTTAATGACAAGGCTCCATCGTATCTTAAAGACCTCGTAGAGCCTTATCATCCTAACAGAGCACTTCGCTCTCAGAGTGCAGGTCTACTTGTGGTTCCTAGAGTCCACAGAAGCAGAATGGGAGGCAGAGCCTTTAGCTATCAAGCTCCTCTCCTATGGAACCAACTCCCAGTCTCAGTTCAGGAGGCGGACACCCTCTCTACCTTTAAGATTAGACTTAAGACTTTCCTTTTTGATAAAGACTTTATTTTGAATCAACAAAAAGATTAAACAAACAAATAACAAAACTGAGTGTGTTTACTCACACGTGCAGGTGTGTGTGTGTCCCGTTGGGGTGCAGCAGGTAGATGGAGGGGAAGGTGGTGATCTTCAGAGCGTCCAGCAGGGGGCGGTCTGAGCTCAGTGCTCTCTTCACCTGCACACCCGAGTACTGCAGCAGGTCCAGGATCACCTGAGACACAAACAAGAACAGGAAGTGGTCTGAAAGGAGAAATGTGGCCATTAAAACATATGACTGATGATTAGACGATGACCAAAAACAGGAAAATGAAGGAATTATATATTTAATAATACATTTAAACAGGATTTTGGCTTTTCAACCCTCTTGTTTCTTTTCATTCCTCATTATCTAACTAAAAGAGCGTTTGTTCATGAATTCAGCTTTTGTGGTAAAGTTTCTAAAGTCTTCTCACTTTGGCTGACTGGATTATTTTCTCACCTCTCGCCCGACGTACGAATCAGGCTCCTCGATGATGACGGCAGTGAAGTGATTGGACCTTTGACCCAAGAGAGGAAGCAGCTCTTCAGAGCTACAGACAGGTCAGCAAGAGAGAGTCAGGTCAAGCCCTTAATGGTCCAACACATCGTTCACAACTGAACCACAGAATTAAACACACACTGTATGTGCACGTCCCCCATCACTACCCCTATAATTAATACCATAAACAAAATGCCTGGCTTCGTTCAGTCAGAAACTAACTAACATGGATTACACAAAGCATTTCCAGAGAACAAACAACTTCTAAACTCTTTCTATAATGTGAACATTCTACCATGAGCCGTGCAGCACCACAGCATCTGAACTCCCAGATGCACTTTTGGTCCCAGCCTATCAGAGAGCAGATGGATCCGCCGGCGCCGTGCAGCGCTGTATCTGGGACCAAACACAAAGACTGCATTGTGCAACAGCTGTCCTGCACCATCAGACTCTGCTGGAACAGAGAGGAGTCGACCTGGACAGCTGAGCTTTCCTTCCTGCTCTGCAGTCTGAACGTGCCACATCTGTGTGGCCACAGCACCGTGCACCAACCTCCACTGGAGATCCACACTTTGGTTTTCTATGGGACCTTCATACGCAGAGGAGGCTGGTGCTAGTGCCCCCGACCACCTCGACCCTAGCTAATGGCGCTCTGTTGAGAAGAGTGACAGCGGCAAGAGCTTTGCCGCAGTAGAGTGGTCTCGAACAGCTGTCGTCTTCCTGCTGCTCCTCCACAGTGGACGAAGGTGGAGATACAGGTCGTCTGGCTGGCCATTCCGCTTCAGACTGCGCACCCCCACGCAGGAAACCAGGAAGACCACCAATCATCCCTGCCCCCAGGCTGCCCCGGAGAGTGATGGCCCCGATGCCTGGTTGTGGTGCTGTGCGTGTTTCCTTTGTTGGAGGCTGCAGTCTTGCTGGGAGCTGGCCGAGCACTAACTGCTGTCCAGTAACTTAACAGTTGTCCCTCAGACGCAGAGACCTGCTGCCAGGCTGCTGATCTCACAGCAGACAGCCTCCCTAGTCGGGCTGCTGCTTCTCTGAGCAACTGGCCCTGCGGCCCCTGCCCTTCACTACCACAGCACAGAGTAGAGAGACCGGTCAGAGACAGTAGGAGAGATGGTCTGAGTCTGGGGCCAGTACCTGTGTGGGTCTAAAGGAGGACAGTGATCGGGCCAGTCCAGTCTGGTGTGGTTCTGCAGGATGTTCACCATGAGCTGTCTCACTGACTGGACCCGTCTGTCTGCACCTGCACAAATACATGGTAGTATCAGTACATGTCAACAGAAAAGTACACAAGTACTTACAGCATCACAGTAAAACATCTGGTTGTACTGCGACTGATCAGATGATGGATAGTGAATGATCAAAGCTTCGCTCCTGTTGGAGCTGGTTTCAACTACATCATATCCAGTTGGTTTAGTCCAGGGAGTCCCAACTCAGGGGTCGGGGCCCTCCCAAGGGTCACCAGATAAATCTGAGGGGTCACCGCACCAGTCACACAGAGGACAGAAGAAACACACAGGTCTGAGTCAGTATGGTCAGTGTGTTTGTGAAATATCGGACATTAACCTGTCATTAAAGGTGCATTGAAATTAAACCATGTATGAAGTGGGTTAGGGTTAGGAAGAGTGACTGGTGGAACTGAACAATGAATAGGTTTGTGAAACATGTCACAATGGTTGAATTTTATGAGGGGCCACAAACCTAAAAGTTCAGAGGCTACTGCTTCTTCTACAAACTGCATTTTACTTACTTTGCCAGGTAACTAGTAACTTTAACAGTAACATAACAGTAGAAGCTCCTGTGACACGCAGCAGAGCAGAGCTACCAAGCAAAAGAAACCGGTACCTTTACCCAGTACAACCTGTGAGGTGCAGTACACACTGACACTGCAGTAAATCTGTGTGACTCTTTGTGCAGGCGTGGGCGTGTCTCACCTGTGTAGGTCGTTCCTCTGTCTGTTGGTGGACTGTGAGCCCGGAAATACTGCACACACAAAGACCAGCGACATGATTACACACTGTACTATGGTAGGGTCAGGTGTGACGGTCTGTTTCCTCTGTCTCTCTAATTCTTGTTTTGGTGGCGTTTCAATGGCACAGCGAGCAGGTGTCGAGGCTACTGTGGCTAGTTAGCATCCAGTAACATAACGCTGACCTGACAACAAAAAGAGCATTGCTCCCTGACTAACCTGATGCATAAAGAAAAGTTAACATTGGATTTAAACGTGCAGGAAGTTATTTTATTTCCCTGTGTAATAAAGAAAATCCCCTCTGCTGCGAAGTGACCACAGCCTGGTCACTGCTGTTAGCTTTCAGCTAACTGTGGTGTAAGGCATCTCATCTCACTGTGCGAGGTTAATGTTTTTACACATGGACCCTGATGAACAAACTTAACCTTCGCAGGAAGTTACAGATATTTATGCGTTTGCTTTCAGCAGTACTGTCCCGTCTACTTGTGAAACACGGTGACAGCTGCACACGGGGTAGGCTTCTGTACACACAAACTAATTAACTGTGATGTTTTCATAGAGACAGTACTCAGTTTATAAACCAGTTCAAATATCCAGACCAATATGACGAGTCTAATCAGTCAACACCACCATTTTATTGCGTTTTAACAGATGACGGCCCTGTTCCCAGGTTAGGGTTAAGCTCACCTGGCTTCTTCTGAGTTTACAACCATATGCCGACATATTTTAATGTTGTGGGGAGGAAGTCAACAGATATGAGTTTAACATATTAAAACTGTGTTGGTCCAGTGTAAATAAACTCAGAAGAATTAAAGTGCAAAGTGTCCCCACCTGACCCTATGAATGCACACAGTAAGAACGCTGCAGGTAGTACTCAGTGTTGTGTACCTTGAACGTTGGGTAGAACTTGACATTGTATTCTTTACAAACGTCAAAGTTTTCCTCCTGTGCACAGTCAACCACAGCGACACTGATGGCCTGCTGCCAGTCTGACAGAAAGACACAGAGACAGACAGGGGGGGACTTATAAGACAAATGTTGTTCACTCCTAAACAATGGCAGAAACGACTGCTGGCTGGAGGAGCTCCTGATGCTCACAAAGCCAGAAACTGAAACTGGCCAGGGAGACAACGCCCTGTGAGATATTCAGCGGTGGTTAAGGACAAGTCCCACCTTCACACTGCGCAAGTATTATCAAAAACATTGTCTTACAGTATGAAAAGTAAAAATACTTTGCCTCTGAGACTGATGAAGTATCACACCGTGTATTGTTAATATTAATGGATCAGTACACAAATAGCCTGTTGAAAGAGCAACTGGCACTCTGAGGACATGTTGTCTGGTCCTCACCTTCAAAGGGCTGTTTGAGGGTTCAGGGTTCAGGTTAGAACCAGGATTAAGGGAAGGGTTGGGAGTAGACACTTAGTTGTGATGGTTAAGATCAGGGTTAAGGGGTGAGGGGATGTGCTAAGTCAGTGAGGGTCCTCATAAAGACAGAAGTACAAAAGTGTGTGGGTTTTGTGTCCCAGCTGACAGTCTGTCGGGGATCGGGGGGGGCGCCAGGGCCTTTGTTTGTCCGAGGCCATTGACCGCGACAGCAGGTCCACATATAGACAGATAGGCGTGTTGCTGGGACTCAGCGGCAGCTGGCCTCTGGCTCAGCGATTCCCCAGAGATGGAGGCAGATGGAGACTAACAACAGACACATTCCCACAGGCTGTTCATACTTTTACATATTTTGGAAAAATCAACATGTTCTACAGATGAAGGTCCTGTGTTTGATCTGCAGAGCACACATGCAAACAGTAAGTCCACATCAGCTTGTACTGAACCTTATCACCAAAGTGTCAGTTTGTACAGGGACAGATTAAACATTGCAGGTGTTTAGTCAGAGAAAAGCCAGCGGCAGTGAGAGATTCACTGTAATCACATAAAACTGAAACTCAGCAGCAACTCACACTGAACATTATGGCCTACATGAACACAGGGGGCCTGGGAGGTCAGGGGGGCCCGGGCCAGAGCCTCTGTCTGAGCTTTTAATATTTCTTGTTTGAAAGTCATAAAACTCAGTTAAAAGGCTGCAGATAGATGCAAAATAATCACAGACTGAAAATAACAATAGAAAAATGCCCATAGAGACACAGAAGCACCGCAGAGACAGAACCACCACATAGAGAAGGAAAATGACCAAAAAGACACACAGATAAGCTACAGACATAATTATGTTTGTCATTTAGTGTCTATCAGTCCAGAAATCCTCTTGTATGTACAGAGGAGGGGGGCCCCAAAATGCTAGTGCCCTGGGGGCCATTTTCTTTCCATTACAGGACTGTCAGATTAGACTGATTTAGTCAGAGCTAGGTGTTCCTAATAAACTGACCACTAAGTGTATGTTTATGCTGGGAACATAAAGAACAGTTATGCACATGCTAACTAGCCACCCGAGCTAACTAAGCTACCCACAGCTGCAGCTCTGTGAAAACGTTTTATTTGATGTGTAAACTGTTCCTGTGCTGTTTCAGGTGTGACTTCCGGGTCGCCTGAGCTGAAGGGTCACCTGTCTGTGGCTTGGAAACACGAGTTCATTTCTCAGTTGGCGTAAATACCGGGTAGCTTTATCCAGCTAACTAGTGCTAACATACAGTATAACGGTGCTCAGTGATGAATGTGGTTCACGTTCACCTTTTATTCTCTGCGTCCTTTAAGTGTGAACGAAGGTAAAAATCCCCGTTTGTTAATAACACTGAGTTTCACAGACACACAGCGAATCGTAGCCAACAGCTGGAACGTTATTGCTACACTAATTCGTATTTATTCGGTTAAATATTACTGAGCCATTTCTACGGTAAACATGTTAGCTGGTTTAAAGCGGAGTGCCGTGCTCGTACGGGTTCACTGCACCACTCGGAGCTCCGATCACGACCCGCTACTTCTCACGCACCAGCAATTATGTGAATCATAATCAGCACGTAGAATTGCTATTTTGCTGTACTTAAATGATTTTCTTTATTGTATTAATGCCGAACTGAAGCCGAGTACAGTGGAATCAGAAAACACTCCGACTGATACTTTAAGACTTTATGTCGTTTTACCAGAAAACCCGGTGCTCGATAAATACAACAGTTTTGAATTGAGCCTGGTGTGTTTGTACAGAAGAACGTCACGGACCGTGGCAGGCGAGGAACCAAACCGAGCGGGTTTGCTGCGGTACCTTTGACGTCCTGGGCCAGGGTCTTCCATGTGGTCGAGTACTGAATGCAGTGTCCACACCAGGAGGAGTAGAACTGGACCAGCCAGGCGGAGGATGAGTTACTGACGGAGGATGTCACAGTGCTGCTGCTCAGGATCACCAGCGGGTCATCCTCTGTGTACAGAGGGGCTGCCGCTCCCAGGTATCCGGGGACGAGCCAGAGGACGACCGCCGCTCCGAAACAGAACCCGAACATCCTTTCCGTCCGGGCAGAGGTAGACCAAGGCCAGGATGTCAGGGAGCTGGAGAGGTTCTACCGACAACCGGCAGCGAGAGTCGTGGAGACATGACAGCAAAGCCCCGCAACGCGCAGCCGGAAGTACAGACGTGTCACCCTGACGGGTTTCCGGTTGGGCCGTTTAGCGTCCGGTTTCCATAGCAACGGCGCAACCCGACATCGCAGGACTCAGGAAAACAGGTAGGTGATTTTTCTGTTGATTAAGGATTGAATACCGAGTTTGCAAGCGGTAATGTGAGTACTACAAGTATCAGTAGGTAATACCACAGTCACTGTGGTAGCAGGGAACTGAAAGTACAGGGTCGTTCTCCGAAGCGGAATGCTGTGCAACCTTTTGTCAGAGGAATATTTCATTTAATACACCTGATTTTTAATCGTGTGCGAAGCGGATTTGTAGTTGCTTCAGTTTCTACATAATTGACTGTTACACCTTTAACCCACAGCTGCTGTTAGATGAAACTTTACATTAGAAATGGGTTTTTCTGGCGTTTCACGTATGTTGCAAACAGACTCGGTGACTGTGTTTGATTTCTAAGGAAACCAAAGAAAACCAACTTTTCTTTTCACAGCCGAGTTAGCCTAGAGGAAACTGTGACTCTTCAGGCTTTAGTATAAAATACATTTTGTTTTATTGCTGATTTGGTTTGTTCGGTTTCACCATCATTCAAAGTGATTTAAAACCAACATTTGTGGGCACTGCACTAAAGTAGGATTAAGAAACCCAAGACAAAGAGAGGCTTGACCTGACCTACTTAGTGCATCGTGGCTTAATGCGTTTCACCAAGGCTAAGCCAGGTGGAGACTGGGCCTAGGTGAGGCCAGGTCTAAGGCCCAGGACCAATGTCCATGCTCTCGGGTGGACTTTGAGGTGCGCTCCCGCTGAGGTAGTGAGGGCTCTAGGCTGATCTGTGCATGAGGGCTCTCTCGCCTTCATTTTGAGCCTTTTGTGCTCACTTTGTGTAAGTCGGTGTTTCTGCAGACTTTACCTGAGGCAATTCCCCACAGTTCATTGAGTTGTGTCATGAAACACGGGATTACCTGGGGAGGCTGGAGGTGTAAAACACATAAATGCCATAACACGGAGAGAACGATAAAGACGACAAACGGTAAACGAATGGTCATTCTTAAGTTAACTGATGTCACAGTAGTCAGAATCACGGCGTCACTTTGGCATCATTTAAAAAAGATTTTTGCTTCATGTCTTCATGTGTTTAGTTTCCTGATTAACACGTTCCTGTCTGAATATTTAACCTGAAACTCTTTCTCAGGTAATTTTCATTGATTTATTAAACATATTTTATCCTGATATCAATCCAGTTTCATGGTAAACACATAACTACACCCACAGTTTACACTGCTATCAGGGTTTAGGCTTTAACAAACACCATTTCCCATGGTCCAACGGTGTAGCAGGCTAAAGTTCAGCAGCAGAGGGACCAAGGGACTGAACATTTTTTTATTTTCCAGCTTGAACCGGTGCGATTTAAAGGGTCAGTTCACCCAAAATGTTCAGTTTACTGAGTCTGGTTTGCAGATTTATAATGATGCCACAGTTGTATGACAAAATCCCAACTCCAGGTGCATTTACTAGCTCTTTCC